GAGGTGTGTTTTTTTTCGCAGCGTTCCGAAGAGGTGTGTTTTTTTTCACGGCGCTTCGATGATGTGTGTTTTTACTCGTAAGCAACGGCGAATATACACACCACCTTATACGCTTCTTTCTGGCGCGCTAAAAGCTGCAGCCAACATCGATGAGGCCACGACGCGGCCACCGCGTCGCATACCCCTCCCCTAAACCATACTACCTCCAGGTACGTCTGGTTTACCTGCCCGACGATCAACCAGCGCGCAAATTGCAGCACTTGCTCCAACTCCTCTCTCTTCTCTCACTCACACACAGACACACATGGAAGGGTTAAACACAATGTTTGACACAAATTCAAATATTTTATAAGAAAAGTACAAACTTTCTTAAGCAAACATTCTTTTAATTTAACTCTTACATAAAAAAACTTAGTGTTGATCAACAACGACTGAACTTACTGCAGTTACTGCACCCGACGCCGGATTGCGCGCCTCGTCCGAGTGCTGCTCCGGTACGCGTTGCCTGCGTACGGAGTTGAGCATCGGCTCGACGCCGAGACTCAGAATCAAGTCGCGAGGACGGTCCAGCCTCCTGCATGACTCGCTGACGATCAACAAGGCGTTGCTCCTATCTTTGCCTCAAATCAAACTCGACTCTGCGCGGCTCACTCACCACGCGATCCGGGTTGGCCTCGCGCCACGACTCGTAGGCGCGCCGGGGCTCTTCTGTCGCCTGGCTGCGCTCTGACGAGTTCGTGCGCTCGATCCATTCAGCGTGAGCCCCACTGCATCTGGGGCAATCCGCCATGTCCACTCCAACGCGGCCGCAGTTGAAGCAATAGTTGCGCTCTTTGGCACTCGGGCAGACCTGACGTAAGTGCCCCGGCTTCTAGCAATTGAAGCAGTGCCTCGGGGCCGGATCAACAGCTGGATCGGTCGGTATTGGCTTCAGGCCGCCAAACATGACGCCAGTCAGCCTCACCTGCAGCTGTTGCCTCGGAGATGCCAAGGGTCCAGCGCTGGCTATGCCGTCGGCACCATTCGCAGCGTCTGGAGGCACATACACAGGCACATGATCTCCTACTGCTTGACGGCGATTCGGAGGCCCAGCCTCCTCGTCATCGCGAGCTGGTACGTCGAATGACAGCTCCACGTCGTCGACGGTCAGTTGCCTGTTCGCCGAGGGCTTCTTCTTCCTTCCACCTCGGCAAACGCGCTTCCTCTTCTTAAACACGACCTTCGTGTCATTGTTCGCCTCCATCTGCTCTTGGCGCTGCTGCTGCTCGAGCTGCTGCTCTTGCATCGGTACTTGCTGCTGCTGCTCGAGCTGTTGGTCGAGCACCGGAGCTTGCGGTGGTACTTGCTGCTGCTCAGACGCCAACTCGTCCACCGGCTCGTCTTGCTGCCCGTCGCCGGGCGCTGCTTGCTCGTTGGGCAACGGAGCTATGACCTCAGTCTCGACGAGCTCAACAGTTGCGCCGACTTTCTCCGACACTTCTCCGCCTTCGGCCGTTGCTACTACCTCGGGAGTACTGTCGTTCTCCGCGATCGTCGCCACGATGTCGTCCCAAACGTCGTCCATCGACGCGACCAGGCTCGACTCGGACGAGTCCAGCCTTGGCAGAGGCAAATTTTAGACGGTGGCGACGTTACTCTCGTCACTATCGAGCGCAATGATCGGCGCTTCTCGCTGCACGTTCTCTGCTGCTTTATTCTCCATCTACAACAGAAACAAATATTAGTCGTAATTCACTTTTTCGGTGCATCGTACAGTTTGATTTCCGATACGTGCACCTTGGTCTTACGTCTACTATTGCATTCACCCCGGTCCAACACGTAAGTCGTAGGTGATTTCACCTCGACTATCGTGAAAGGACCTTCATACTCGTCTGCGAGTTTGGCATTAAAAGCCTTATTCGCATTTGACAACACATGCACTTTTCGCAACACAACATCACCCACACCAAATTTCACATCTCTTCTAGAGTTGTTATATCGTACGCGTTGTCTGTCGTGCGCCTCGTCAGCGTACTTTGCAACGAGCTGGCACAGACATTCAAGCTTCGTCAGCCTCTCGAGCCAATATTCGGTTACGGCTGCCTTAATTTCTTTGGCGCCCTCGATTTCACGGCGCAGGCTTTTAATCGGCCTCGGTTGTCGGCCAAAGTTCAAGAACGATGGCGAAACTTTGAGCGTCGATTGTACAGCCGTGTTTAGCGCATGCCGAAACTCGTGAATGTACGTGTCCCAAGTTTGGTGGTCGGTTTTCACGTACATTTTAATGATCGTCTTCAGCGTACGATAACTGCGTTCAACTGGGTTGCTTTGTGGGTGGTACGGAGGCGTAGTAGCCTTCTGAATACCATACCCATTCAGCATGTCGCTCACCAACTTATTGTCAAACTCTCTCCCGTTGTCTGACAAGAAGTAGAGCGGCGCACCTCAGCGAAACAAGACTAACTCCTCGAACGCACGAGCCACGGATTTTCCGTCTGCTTTTCTGACTGGTTTCATTTCCACCCACCGTGGGAACCTGGACCGTGAACAAGTCTTGAAACACTATCAAGTACTTATTACGCGCTTTGCTCGGTGGAAATTCCATCAAGTCAGCGGCGACGACTGTCCACGGCTCTTCGACAATTCGCTTGCCCATAAAGCCTTGCTTCTTCTGCTGCGACACTTTGTGCCTCTGACAAAGGTCGCATCTCCTCACATACTCTTCGACATCGTGATAGCAGCTGCGCCAGAAATATTCTTGCGCAACTCTATCATATGTCTTTTCGACGCCGAGATGTCCTGTCACTGGCTCATTGTGCGAGTCACGCAGAATCCTCTGTTTCCACTCTTCTGGAACGATTAATTTCCAGTCTCCTTCCTGTCCAACGACCGGATCGAGCAGCGAATTTGGCTTGAATCGATACAGCTTCCCCTCGTCTACGCGCCACTGCGGGTATCGAGCCGGATGCTTCTCAACTTCTTCAATCATCCGGAGATAACACTCGTCCGTGATCTCTGCCGAGCTGCACACTCGCACTTCACCGTCTTCGTCGGTAAACATGCGAGAGAGCGCATCAGGCAGATGATGCAATGCGCCCTTGCGATGCTCGATCACAAAGTCCCACTGCTGCATCTCGAGGGCCCAACGCGCTAAGCGTCCTGTCGGGTCCTTCAAGTTGCGCAGCCACTTCAACGCACTGTGATCGGTGATCACGACGAAGCGATATCCCTCGATGTACGTCCGAAACTTACGAATCGACCATAGCACCGCCAGACACTCTTTCTCAGTCGTCGAATAATTGCGTTCCGCGCCAGTCAAAGACCGGCTGGCGTACACAATCGAGTGCCCGCCGTCTTGCTGCTCTTGTGTGAGTACAGCTCCGACGGCAACTCCGCTTGCGTCGCACTGCACCTTGAACGGCTTGGAAAAGTCCGGCCGTGCAAGTACAGGCGCCGACGTGAGTGCCTACTTTAGCTTCTCGAAAGCCGCCTGCTGCTCCTCACCCCACTTCCACTCTTCCGTCTTCTTCAGCAACTTCGTCAACGGCGTATTGATCTCGGAGTCGCGCGCTATGAAGCGCGCGTACCATCCGATCATGCCAAGAAAGCGACGAAGCTGCTTTACATTCGTCGGTGCCGGGTAATTCACCACTGGCTGAATCCGCTCAGGATCCGGGCGCAAGCCTGAAAGCAAGAGCTGAAAGCCCAAGTACAATACCCGCGGCCGACAGAAGTGATACTTCTCTCGATTGATTTGCAAGCCGGCGTCGACTAATCGACTCAGCGCAAATCTCAACCACTTCAAATGATCGGTGAACGTGTCCGTTACGACGATCACATCGTCGAGATAAGCAAATATGTGCGGCTCGTACGCTGGTCCAAAGAGAGCGTCTACGAGGCGAGAAAACGTCGATGGGCTATTGGATAATCCGTAAGGCATCCGCAAGAACTGCCAAAGACCCGAGCCAGGCACAGCGAAAGCTGTGTATTTACGGCTCTCTTTATCCAACGGCACTTGCAGAAAGGCAGCTTTCAAATCGATCGTCGAAATGAAGCGCGCATTTCGCAGTCGGTCGAGGATCATGTCCATGTTGGTCTCCGGGTAAGCGTCTTTGACTGTTCGCGCGTTCAAGTCGCGAAAGTCGATGCACATACGGTAGCCTCCGTCACTCTTTTTCACGAGCACCGGCGCGCTTCGGAAGTCGCGTGCCGGTGGCTCAATGATTCCCTCTTTGTGCCATTTCGTGACCGTGTTGCGAGCTTCCCACAGCATCGGTTCTGTCATACGGCGCAGCTTGTGCTTGATCGGAGTCTCGTTCGTGAGCCGTATGTGGTGCTCAACCAAGTCGGTCATCGGGTGTAGACCGTCGGCCAACCTTGTCTGCGGCGCCAGCACTTCCTCGACCAATCGATTCACTTCAGCGAGCTGCTCTTCGTTCGTGACAGTGATGCCAGCGCAGCTTTCGCGCTTCGCTCGGTCATCACTGCACAAGAAGGGCCTCCACGGGCCTTCTCGCACTCGCCACACTCCTCGTCTCCATCTCGTGTCGACGTCGAAATCGTGGCAAAAATCCATGCCGAGTATGACGTCTTCGTCGAGCACCGACATCACTCGGAAATTAACGCGCGACTGAAAACCCTCAATCTTCAAGTCGGCAGCCAAATTTCCTATCGCTTTCGACACTTCACACATGTCCGAGCGAACAAACACGCCACAAGTTTGCATCTGCGTACGAAATTGCTCGGCTACTCTCTCGTGCATCAACGAGGACGTAGCCCCCGGATCGAGCAGAGCACTTTAGCGATTTCCACCTAAGGCAATACTTACATACTTGCGAGTGTCCGCGCTACGCGATGAAGACACGATCACACCACGATTCGACTTCGATCTGCCGCACCCATTGATGCGGATAGGCACCGCTTCTCAGACTCGGCCATATTACTCGGCGCAAGAAATTCGCCCGTCTCTCTCGGCTCAGCTTCTGACAATCGACTCTCGTTCGACGGGCTGCCAAAGCTTGTTACAGCACCGCGAACGAGCGCATCTGCACTCCGAGTTGGATTCCTCTGCGGGAGGGCCACGTCATTTCAGTCGCTTTCCCTCCCTGATTAAGGTTTCCCAAGTACGAGCGGAACTCCTTGCATTTGCTGCACTGCCGAAACGTCACACAACACGACGGCTCTTCCTGCGCTGCTTTCGCCGGACAACTGCGCGACATATGTCCCTGCTGGCCACAGTTGTAACACTTGACCAATGGACACTCGTTCGCGCTATGTCCTGGCAACTGGCACTTGAAGCAAGCCCCGGCAAAACTTGGCTGCGCACCGGCCACTTGCTGTGTCGCAAGCGGAGGTGCATTGCTAGTCGATGCTCCAGCGCGCGCTGCAGATGCGTAAGTCGTCTGCACCGCAGCTGCCTGATGCGTCGTCTGATCGGACTTGTCTTCAGCCGTCAACGTCGATTTTATCGCCTGCCACCGAGCCAACAACTCGTCGTCGAGCTGAGTATTCTGCGCATTTTTCGCTGCAGGTGCTTTACCCTTGGAATTGTTGTTCTTGCCCTTTTTTGTCTGCTTCTTCAGCGTCGCGTCACCTTTTATTTCTGCCACAACGTCAACGTCGTCATCGCTCACTGTAGTTGCCGCTGCAACTTTCACACGCACACTCGACGGAGGCTTGAACGCGGCGCCTTTTACCGTCATTTTGTCTGCCGTGGATGGCGGAACATAACGACTGTTGATCGCGCGTTGCCTCTCTCACGCGAGACCGTAGCTCTCGAGGCGATCTAGCGTGTCCACCAAACGGTCTGAGATCGCGCGCCTATACTCGGGCAGCAGATTATTATAAGCGATCTCGACGACTTCTTCTGCGCGCGGTGGCCGCTGAAAGTGAAATCGACGATGAAACGGAGACTCGTAATGAAGTCGGAGATCCGTTCACCTTTGGCTTGCGTGCGAACCTCAATGAGACAATTGTATTTCTCAGATGAAATTCACATCCGCTCATCTTACAAGGAGACCACATGAGATGCGGGTCACCAAATGTCCTGAAAATTTTTTTCTGGTCTCCTGGTATCTAATAACAAAGCCCCCTATGCTTAGTTTGATCCAATGGGCCTTAAGGCCCATTTTAAAAATCATTTTCTAGTTTATTGAAAAATCTTTGTAATTTTCTAACTCGTAATAGGACATATTAAACGGAAAATTGCACAATGTACAAGTCTTAGAATTAGTCAAAGAACACATTTGAATTTTTTCAGAATTTTTGAAACCTACTATCACTTATTTTCAGAGGTCTCTGAAATTCTTAAGAAAAAAGTAAAAACGCGTTAAATTTGGGCCTTTGAAAATAGGTGATAGCAGGTTTCAAAAATTCTGGAAAAATTCAAATTTATTCTTTGACTAATTCTAAGACTTGTACATTGTGCAATTTTCCGTTTAATATGTCCTATTACGAGTTAAAAAATCACAAAGATTTTTCAATAAACTAGAAAATGATTTTTAAAATGGGCCCTAAGGCCCATTGGATCAAACTAAGCATAGGGGGCTTTATTATTAGGTACCAGGAGACCAGAAAAAAATTATCAGGACATTTGGTGACCCGCATCTCATGTGGTCTCCTTGTTAGTGTAAAATAATAATTCTAAATCACAACACTAGCTGTAATTTTGGCTCAGTTTTAGATTCAATAAGCAGATCTTTGAGCGTAGTCTGCTACATATACCTGTATCTAATACACACATAATAATTTGCAATATCTAAATGTCATGACTATACTTTTTTACATTGAACAAATGAAATTTTAGGCATTCTGAATAAGAATTCACTTATGTTAGAAGTTAAATCATGTGCAACAACCGATTATGTACATTTATGATTTTTTACTTAATTTAAATGTTGACAATTTTCAAATTGTATTCAAAAATATGTAATAGTAGTCTTCTTATTAAATAATTTATATCTAAAGAACCATCAGTTGAATTATCAGTTATAAAAAAAATTTGCATGCAATTTGCAAAATTATATTTGAGATCAAGTTCAGACATCAGCTCAATTTTTTTTCAATTCAACCTTGTAAATATATGATGAAACATTTTATTCGTCCCCATTGATAAGTTCTTGAATATTTTACAGTTTCAATGTGATTTTATAAATTGTATAAGCTCGTACAACATCCAATTTTGTACATTTTCACTGATTCTTTGTCACTATATGTAATTTTTTGTTCGCTGCACTACTCTTTTGATTTGCATACATTATTTCAACTACAGAGTACAGACATATTTCTTTACGTCAAAACCTCAATGACAATTAAGTTTACATCTGCCTTTCTTAGTGTAGAAGAACAATTTTTAATCATGTTAACTGTACTTTTGGCTCACTTTTATAAAAAATATTCATAAAAATACTCATGATACTCATAATACTCATAACAATAATATTGTACTGCTTTTTAGTGACACTGTAATTCAACATTACTGTTTCTGAAAACTCGTACAAATTGTTCAGCTGTTGGTCTATCACTTGGTCGATCATATGAGAAGCAACTCTTGATGTTGTCCCTCAAAACAGCTGGAATACTTGATAAGTTTGGTTCCTTTTTTAATTTTAGTAGTTCCGTAAGATTACAGGTGGAGTAATTGTTTGTGTGCCATACGTGACGTTCACTGAACAACTCGACTATGGTACAACCCAGTGACCATTTGTCACTGAATGTGGTTGCCTCTTGATGATATAAATATATTTCTGGTGCCATGTACATGGGTGTACCCGCACAGTTAATGTGTCCTTTTGCTGTCATCAGTTGAGTGCACATTTTTTTAATAGAAGAAACTCCTAAATCACAGATCTTGACTAGTTTATTCTTGGTTATCATGATATTGGCAGGTTTAATGTCTCTGTGAATGACTGGATTTGGAAATTCATGTAGAAATGATATTCCTAAAAATATTTGATGAGCCAATTGCAATTTATCACTTTCATTCAATGGGAACTTGCTTTTTGTAGTCGACTTGAAAATGAGGTCTCTCAAGGTATATCCATCTATGAACTCCATAATAATATGGAATTCGTAGTCCCCTGTGGAGTAACCCATTAAGTTGACAATATTTGTGTGCACAACTTGTCTCAAGATGACCAGCTCCTTGATGATATCCTTTGGCCTTACTTGCTGAGTGTCGATAGTTTTTATGGTAACTTCGGACATGCCCCAGAAAGCTTTTTTTACCTCTCCAAATGCTCCTTTCCCGAGTAAGATGTCGGTGAATTTCAGAGAGTCAATTGGTACTTGTGATATTGGTACAATGATTTCCATTTTAAATTCTTTAATTTTTTCATCTATTTTCATATTTTTCTGATTCTCTTCGGTGAACTTTTCTGAATCTAGAGGCCTCTTACGTTGACTTGGAAATTTAAACAAGGAACTATCTTTTTTCAATCCACTCTTAGGTGCATCAATATTAACTATTGATTTCAGCGGTGTTTTAAACAAAGACTTGCAGTTTGGCAAATCATTGCATTGCCACGAACAGTTTTCTTTTGAGATAATCTGAGAAGGTTTACTTGAAGTGTTGACTGGTTTTTCCAAATAAGTGTACAAGTACAAGGGGGGTGGCCGATGCGCCAGATTGCGAGCTACTTTATAATACTGCCAAAAACCACCTGTGCCAAAGTTTTCAACAATCTCAAAGTTTTTTTTCCCTAATTTTATCTCACCTCTTTCAAAATATTGGGCGGTGAAATTATTTTTGAAAACCTTCACACACTTAGTAATTATATCTTGAACCGAATAAACAGTAGAGGGATCAACTTCAATTGTTTGAGGCGGGCCTGCCTGTTTATAAAAAATGTCTTGATTTTCTGGTCTGTGATGCCACTGCACATTTATTTTTTTGTATTGCGTAGCAGGTATAGGTGCAGCTGAAGTTACAGGTGAAGGCTTGGCTGGAATCTTCTTACGCTTCTGATCTTTTTCTTGAGCTGGCGTTTCCTGAGATTTTATGGCTTCCATGATAGAGTTAAATTTTATTTTTTGCGCTTCTGATAGCGAGTGCGCTGTTTTTTCCACTGGATCTACATAAAGCAAGTATGGTCAAAAAATGATTCAATAATAAACGAAGAATAAGTAGATAATTACTTTTTTTTGTGAAGATGCTAAAACGATTCACCGATGGTGAACACTTGAAGTACCCATCTTCGACCATCACACAGAAGGATTTTTCATTTATATAACGTAGGTTAGGCCGTCAATGTTTGGATAATACGTTTTGAGGGTGGACAAGGAAATCTTGTCTCCCTCTATCTCGAAAAATCTCGATAAATTATTTTCGATAACTTCTATTTCACGTTTAACCATTTTTTAAACTATTATGATTTCAGAAAAGTATACTTTTCGTCCTAGCTTTTAGGTTGTACGTTTTTTTTTACTTTTCAATTCCATGAACTTCGAGATAGAAGCCGCACGCACGCTACGAGCGGCGCCGCACACGACTGCGGCGACGCATGGCACCACCAGGCTTCCGTACTGAAGGTATGTACGGACGTGCGCGAGCAACATTACCGGCGCACTAGATCAAGCCCCGCACGCGTATATATTCCGTGTATGTGTACTCGCGTGTGTGTGCAAGTCGAACACAAAGAAGGCATAACACACACATGCGAGACGAAACTCATAGAATAATTTGAAATGGTACAAAGGGGCAAAACAAGCTCGCACGCGCACTCGTAAGTCCCATATCTCCAAAAGTTTGACCTGTGACCCCAGATAACTATTGGGCACATCCTGGTCTTGCGCAAAATGAGTCAACAAGTGACGAAATAGCTGGTAGATTTGCGACTTGTGGAAAATACCCAAGACGTGCTCCCGCCAAAAGGCCCATGATTAAATTAGTATATGACGCGCATAAAAATTAGGCCTCTGAGCAGATCATTTTATACTGTCGAGCAAGGCGAAGCTCTGGGCAGATCATATTAGAGAGTCGAGTAAGGCGAAGCTCTGAGCGCGCGAATAATCGAATCATTGTGTGACGGTCGACTCCCCGTGTCCACCGTCAACAAGGCGTTCACAATGCCTGGCCGACTTTGTCGGTATCCGACGCGCCAGACAAGCGACAGCTTGTCGTCGGCCAGGGTCCGGCTAGCTCGATAGGGGGCGGGAAAGAACGCGAAATACTACCTCTGGGTCGTGGGTACGACTCTCCTCCTGGAGGGGACGTCGACAGGTATGGAGCGGGGCCTCCGGTGACTGCAACACTGCACCTATAAAAACACCTGTAAACGAGAAAGTTCGCGAGAGAGAGAGGAAAGGAAAACGACGGGTCTTGTAAATAATAAAACAGTGAATTTCGATTAAAACAAATGCTCTTTTATTGAAGCTACTCTGAATACTCATTCACACAGGGCCGAAGCTCTCACACTCACAATCACACCTGGTCGCGGACGCGAGCTGCGTTGCCGTTTGGAGGGTCGGCGCGAGCGCGGTAATACCAGTAAACTACTCACGGTACTCCTTGCCCTCGAGGCTCGCGACCACACGGGTAGACTCCGCGTCGCCGGGGTCTTAGAAGTTCCTGCTGCTCTCTCCGTAGTCGCCTGTTGGCCACAGACGCGAGAAGGGACGGGCCGGATGGGTTGAAACTCGTTACGCTCGATGACGACTCTTGGTGCGCCGCACGGATCGCCAGCACTCACACTCGATTCGTGGCCACCAACTTCACAATCTCACCGATTCACGCCTTCAACTCACTCACACCCAACAGCACACTTCACTACTCACACACTCTACTACAAAAACTCTACAACACTCCGACGAAACTACTCAACAATGCTCGCGTACATAGAGCTCTGCTCTGCTCAGCGGTCCAACTACTAATCGTCACTCTCTGACTGCTCCAACTCAACTGTCGCGTCGTCTGCACACGTGCACACGACGATCTTCACACCAAGTTTGCGACTTGTAATCGGGCACGGGCCGCTCGCGCGCAGTCACGTGGTACTGTACTCGCGAGAGGCCACGGTGGTACCGGCTACAATGGTCGCGACTCATGCACACATTCACACAAAAACCTCACATCAGACGCGTTTATGACGCGTCGCTTGCGTGCTCCGACGTTCGCCTATAGCGCAACGTCACAATTGTAATAGCGACTTCGAGATATTTAACAGACTTGTAGTAGAACACGAATTGCATGTATTGCATTTAGTGAGAACCAATAACGAGCTATAACAGCGACTAGCTTGTACTTGTAATTATACGCCGCGATAATCGAAATTACTAATTGTATTCGCGAACGGTAAAGCCCGAGTGAGTGCTTCCACCAGCTGAGCAGCGCAACGTCCCAACAGCAGCCACGACCGTCACTGCAACAGCCGCCGCCACCACCGAGACAGCCGCGACCGACGGCCAAGCAGCATCAGCGCAACACCCCAGCAACAGCGGCAACCGTAACGTCCCGACGGCGTTTGCAGCCCTACAGATCGACGAGCATCGGCCACACTTATTTTGTAAGCTTGTTTAATAGTAATTAGTTTTCTTGCAATAAAGTCTTGTGTGTAAATCTCACTTGAGCATTATACACTTTATTTCATGTTCCCTCCCCACTCAGACACAACAGAAAATAATATGTAATATTTAAATAATAAAGTTATTACCCAGTGTTAACGGGTACATAACGATTTGCAGGAACGCATATTTTTGAAGTTTTACTCATTCTTGGCCTAAGATAATATATGAGTATTGTCGCAGCAATGAGCGAAAATCAGTTTTCCTAACCTGAAAATTCTTGGATTTTCACTTATATTTTGCTTACTACTCGACAGATTTGGACGTTCGATAAATCAAATTATTTGCAGGAATGCATACTTTTGGTCAATGCTTTTTTCTGGCTTGGTATGACGATTATGAGCCGTTGTAGATTCGCATACATACTTAGTTTGGTTTTTATTTTATAGGAATAATATATTTGATTGACTGGTGTGTTATTTTCATGTTTTTCCCATGTGCTGTAATGGTTAAAGTTACAGGGTAAAGGAGTAAATGATAAACGCGTTGGTCGTGCTAGCGACCGGGTTCGTGTTACCTAGAAAGTGGAAACTAGAGGAGGAAGGCAAAAAAAAAAGAAACAGGGTGGATCAAATAAAATAAATAAGATGAATTATTATTGAGAATAAGGGTAAGTTATAGCCTTGCTTAAGACGGTAAATGGGTCCATCAACACGGCACGAACGAGTGCTTGTTTAAACCAGCGAATGCGAGTCGTAATGCAATGAGAGAGAGAGGTCGAAGCGAAACTGGCCCTTACACGTAGTTTCCACCGGTTGTAACTCCGTGGCCCATTTACGACGCTTGATTGCACGGCGCACACACAAACTCGATCATAATGCATTCATTTGACTCACGCGACGCGATATGACGCGACGCGACCACAGCGGGCTACGATCTGTATATTTTATTTTATTTTATTTTATTTTATTTTATTTTATTTTATTTTTATTTTTTATTTTTACTTATAAAAATAATTATTTATAAAATAAAATTACTTATAATAATGAGAACGGCTGAAAAGTGAAGCCGCGTAAAACGACCTCCCGATTGGCTGACACTGACGACGAGGCCCGACATGAGCCGACTTGATACGAGCGCCTCCGCTGCTAACTGTCAACAGACAGTTAGTACTTAAGTAAGATCAACTCAAAACATGAATGAAAAAATTGACGCGCGTGAAGCGCGTTTGAAACTTACTATTTGTGAATCTTAAACTAACCTCAAAACACTAATAAAAAAAATTGACACGATCGGAGCGCGTTTTAAACGTCTAGTCAATTAAATTTTTAAATACGTGCAAGCGCGACTGTCTTACAGTCAGGCCCAAGCTGTACTATCCATGTAGCTCGCTGCTTCTCTCGTCATTTACCACGACGCGCTCGCGTTTTGCGCAGTCTCCGGCGCGCGCCTGATTCTGTATCTCTCTCTCTCTCTCTCTCATGCGATCTGACGTGGTCACGATGGTGCAGCTGAAACAGTATTCTCATGTATGATTATAAATCATTATGGTTTTGTGGGAGAAAGAGACGAGATCTTGTCCAGATTTTCGTCACACCCTTCCCCCAGACGCTGGTAGCCGGAGACGTGCAAGATTGACAGCCTCTCTCTCACCAAAAAAAATCAATAATATTTTACGTAAAGTTGACAGGAGGACTGAGACGATTTCTGTGCGAGCTCGCTGTTGTGTCTTCGCTTTATCTTGTCAGCTGGTACTTAGTGGCCTCCATTTCTTTGCACGTTGTGGAATGCGACTGCTGGGCAATCACGGCCGCGTGGCACGTACAATATGCCGCAAATTGGGCATGTTTTCTTCCTATCGGAGGCTTGCTCGGCGATCCTCTGATTAGGTCCTCCGACGGTACAGCGGATCTTCAGGCTATCTCTTGCGATTTCTGCCAAGTTTCTGCCTGGTATGCGCGTAGCTTCTGCTTCTGCTTTACTGCGCTCCATCAACGCCTCCTCGTGCTGTTGGCGACGCGTTTCGAGGTCGCAGAAGTATTTTTCTGCTTCTTCTTGCGTTTCTCGGAGGTATTGGTACCGTTCCGGAAAATCGCCGGCGAGTTCTCGCCCTTCTTCTCCCCGGCGCTCCACGAAGTCGCGTAGCCACCCATGTCTCTGTTCGTGCGGATTAGCTCTACTCGCATCCTCTCGGCCTTCAGCACTCTTTTTTCCAAAAGACACCATTCGTCTTTTACGCCGAGGCTAGCGATCTGGTTGATTTGCGCTTTGTTGAGGGCGGTCCCCACGTCGTCGATGTCGGGCAGCTCGTCGACGTCGCGGGTGCGCTCGCTTGGAACAAACTGTGGCGGTTCTAGGGCGAAGCTCGCTGCTGCCTGTGGCGCGCAATTATGGTTTATTGGTGAGCTGCGAGGATTGAGGTTATGTCAGAGTTGTTTTCTCTCTTTATCACACGCGAGTCGCAAGGGCTTGTTTTTCTTTTCATTTATTATTTTTCTTTTGATTAATTT